TCTCTATTGTCATGGAAACTTGATCATCATCTCCGAGTTGATCCATCTTAAGAGTAAGTAATAAGAAAATAGAAGAGTGAATTTATATAAATAGTTGGAGAGACTTAGGCTATAAGAATGTGCTATGGTATGGACATATATTATGAGACATGAGAAAAGAAAATAAAAACAAGGTGAGAAAAGGGAGAAATATCCAACCTCGTGAAATATCTAACTTAAGATTTTGTCAACATTAATTTTGTTATTCGAGTCAATGGATAAGACCACTCTTCGTTTAATTATAGGTCTCAAATTTATATATTATATATAAAATCATTTTTGGTATAAAACGTTTATCTTCAAATGAAGCTTTACAAATACAAATTCAAATTAATTTAGAGATATCGAACGCCGAAAAAGAAATAAAGGACAATAAAGGAGTGGAAGAGAGGAGTGGGGCGTGGCCGTTCTCAAACCAGTTAATTTGCAGTTGAGGTCTTCATGATTTGATTTTAGACCAAATTCAAATTACATTTCTACCCTTTGTTTCATAATAAATTTTTGCTTTAGTCATTTAATTTTGTGATGTGATGTATTGATATTTATATTTTTTTGTAGCAAAGGCTATTAATCAACCACGCATTTCATATTTAATGGAACTGTTAGAAATGCATCTAAAAGGAAAATGGCTTTATTGACTAAGGAAAATGTCGAGATTATTTTTTTGGATATTAATATAAAGAAAATGACAAGAGTCTTCCTCCAAAAAGTTAATACGTCATAAATCATAATATTATAAATGAGTCGAGTTATGATAATTATTTATTATTATAACATTATAAACACAATTATTTTATTATTAAATGAGTCGAGTTATGACAATTTTTTACTACAATTATAACATGTTATTTTTTAAATCTATATAAACACATTCATTTTATTATTAAATGAGTCGAGTTATGATAATTATTTACTACAATTATAACATGTTATTTTTTAAATCTATATAAACACATTCATTTTATTATTAAATGAGTCGAGTTATGATAATTATTTACTACAATTATAACATGTTATTTTTTAAATTTATATAAACACAATCTTTTTTTTTTTAAATGAGTCGAGTTATGATAATTATTTACTATTATAACATGTTATTTTTTTTATCTCTATAAATGCAATCATGTTATTTCTTAAATGAGTCTAGTTATGATAATTATTTACTATTATAACATATTATTTTTTAATCTATATAAAACATCATTTTCTTTTTCAATGAACCGAGTCATGATTATTATTTACTATTATAACATGCTATATTTTTAACCTATATAACCAAAAATATATTAAAAAAAACTATTCTGTCTTTTTCCCCCTAAACATATGTTCGATTTTCTTCTTGACTATTCATTGTTATTTTTTTTCTTAACTAATATTAATATATAATATATAGTGTTCTGTATTTTTTTAAAAATATTTTTACATGTGAAATATCTTTAATAGTCCGTTTGCAATTGGTTTCTTTTATTTGTTTTTAAGACAAAAAAGCTTTTAAGTAGTTCTCTAATGTTTGAGTAAAATAATAAAAAAATGCTTATCAAACACTTATTTAAAAGCTAAAATAAAAAAATAGCTAATAAGTGATAGTTTAGGTATGAAACTCACACTCTCAATAATTTAGGTATGATTTTTTTATAAAAAAGAGACATTTTAAATGTGTTTTTGATCTTTATTTCTACAACTTTTGATTTATAAGTTATAAACCAAAAGTCAATCCAAAGAGACTCATAAGAATAATTTCCTTGGCATTTACAATTTGTGGACCTTTTAAGATGTTGTTAACTAATGTGTCAACTATATAAATAGGCATAAAGCCATAAACCTCCTCAAATATATAAAATTTGCACAACTATAAATAATTTTTTCTTTTTTCCAATACTCTAAATTCTTGTTAGTTAATTTTTTTATCCCAATTATTCTCTTTCAAACTTAAAACAAAGAAAATAGGCGAGTTTTAAAGTTAAGCTAATTCTTTAATAAATATTAAAGAACAAGAATAACTAAAAAAATAAATATTAACTCACTTCACTAAAAAGAAAAAAATCATTCTCAAGACATACATAAAATAAAAAAAATTAATTCAAACTTTAATAATAATATTCAAGAAATAGGGCTGTTTTTAAGTAAGAGAAAAACAAATTTAATTCAAATTTAGTTGCGGCGTGGCCGTTCTCTAACCGGTTAATTTGCAGTTGAGGTCTTTAATGGTTTGATTTTGACTAATTCAATTACATTTCTACCCCTTTTTTCATAAATCATTTTTTTTTTTTGGGTTATATATTCTGTGCTGTATTGATATTTATTTATCTTTATTTATATGGAGAATTTAATAGCTCAATTGGTTGGTTATGTAAATTTTCACCTGATTGATCTTGAGGGTTCAATTTTCCACCTTGTAATTTCATCCTCTATTTTCTCTTTTTCCAACTCCAATTTTTTTTTAAAAGTATTTTTACTTGAGTTAATACATAAAAAAGTCCTAAATTATTTTTATTTTCATAAGCAAAATAAAATTGAGATGGTGACACATGTTTGTCTGTTGATTTAAGGACATATACGGTTCAAAAGTATGACAGTAACGATATATACAATCTTAAAGTATAACGGAAAATACATACCATTTTCTAAAGTTTGAGGTATATTTGGCCATTTTTCGTTCGTAGTTTTATAAAATCCAATTAAGGCTATATGAGATCGTTCTAGCAAAGTTCAAGCTACATTTGATCTTTTTCACACATTTTTTTTTACTTGTTTGATTCAACGCCTAATTTGAGTTTTAACTACTTCACTTCTAGATCTACAATTTGCTTATCAACATTTGAGTTTCTTATTTTTATTTGTTTTTCCTTTCATTTTTAGTGTAAAAATATGAGAAACAAAAATAAAAAAGAGTGATGGAAAAAGAGAAAAAAATTAAAACTAATTTTCTTGCGGCTATATTAATAGTAAATTAAAAAATATTTTTTTTTTAAAAAAAAAAAAAAAATGAATTTAAAATAAAAAAATTTCACTCCGGTTAGATCAAAATGGTATATCTAGGCCATTTGTGTAATGATATAGGTATATATGAGCCACTTTTATAATGAAAAATATATTAGCTCTAAAGAGCAAAGTTATTTTGGTAACCATGTAAACATTACAATTAGTAAAGCAAAAACATACACCTAAAGAGCCCTTGAGCACAACAACTGTGTCTCAAGCCTCGAACAAAACACAAAACTAGTTACACTTTCAGCCTTTGCAAAAAACACTACATCTGCTAGCTCTCTTTGATGAACTAAGTATGTCTATTCTATGTAAAATCTCCTTCTTAATTTGTGTGTGTATCTCAGTTGTTTGTATATGTACTCCTTTGAAAATTTTCCAGTTCCGGGCTCTCCAAGTATGGTAGATCATTGCCCCCCAACTCGCAGCTATCACTTGTTTCTGAAACTGCTTCCATTTCTTCCTTTTAATTCTCAGCATTACTTCTTTCACCTCCCCAACTTGTATAGGCAAGCATGTCCACTGTTCAATATTCCTCTAGACCTCAGTGAACCATGTGCATTCACTAAACAAGTGTTTGGCTGTCTCCAGCTTCTGAGCATCACATAAACAACAATTAGCTTCCTCCACTGAGATGTTCATCTTCAATAGCCTTTCCTTAGTTAGCAATCTATCTTGGACAACTAACCACAAAATAAATCTATGTTTAGGTTGAGCCACTACACTCCAAATACATTCAACAATATGTGAACTACTGTGGGTCCCTCTAAGATCAATATAGATCCTTGTGATTGAGTATTCACCTCCCTTAGTAAGCCAATACCTATCTTGTGTATACCAACAACTTTGCATTTTTCCTTTCATGGCGTGAATCTTCCTCCAATACCAGCTGCTATCTACCGGAGCTTTGTGGTTCCAAACATCCTCTCCTGCTTTCATAAACACACCCACTTGACCCATAATGAGTCCTTATTGATAATTAAATGACATAGCAACTTCCCAACAGATGCAAGGTTCCATAAGCTGCAATCTTTGATATTCAACCCTCCAAGCTTCTTAGGCAGAAACACTTTACTCTATGAGACTAGTGACACCTTCTTCTTTTCATCAGACCCACCCCATATGTACTCTCTACATCTCAGGACAAAGACTGATCCCCAAAAACTATGAATTAAAAAAAAACTGAGTTTATGACTTGAAGCCTTCCAGCATATGACAATTGCTTGGTATATGTCAATCAGATTCTGGATGTGATTTTGTCCACTAAATGTTGGCATTCTAACTTACTCCATTTCTTAGATGATAGCGGCAGTCCCAAGTATCTAATAGGCAATTCTCCGAGTGTAAACCCAGTCCTTAACAGTAGGTCATTTTTCACCTGATCTTTCATTCCAGCTACAAAAATACTTGATTTCTCCATGTTAGCAACTAGTCCAGAAACATTGCTAAAGTGTGAAAGGGCCTCCATTACTCTATTAACAAACTCACAATTTGCTTTACAAAATATCATCAGGTCATCGACAAATGTCAAGTGTGTAAGTTTTAGTCCTTTGCACATTGGATGGAATCGGAAATCAGGCAGCATACTCATGGTCTTCAAAGTTCTAGACAAATATTCCATCACAAGTACGAACAGAAGTGGTGAAGCAGGGTCACCTTGCCGTAAACCTCTTTGTCCTTCAAAAAAACCATAACTCTGGCCATTAACTTTTACTGAGAACTTGAGAGTTTTAACACAAGTGAGCATCTGTTGGACAAACTGAACTGGGAAGCCATATCCCTCCATTACTTCCTGCAGAAACTACCAGTTTACCATATCATAGGCCTTCTTCAAGTCTATTTTCATCAAACACCTAGGAGATGTTGATTTTCTATTATAGTGTCTTAAAAGATCATGACAAATCAACACATTATGCACCATAGATCGACAAACTGCGTGGTTTTCAGCCACCAGATGTGTCACTGCAACCTACAACCTAGTGCATAATAATTTCTAAATGCATTTGTATATAACATGAAATGGGTCTATACTGACTCGCAAATTCTGGATTTTCCACTTTAGGTATTAGTGCAATGATGGTGGCATTCAGTTTTTTCAATAACCTCCCATTCTGAAAAAAATCCATAATAACTTTTGTGATATTGTCTCCTATAATTAGCCAAGCTGCTTTATAGAAACCACTACCAAACCCATCAGACCCAAGGCTCTTGTTGCTATTTATCTTGAACATTGCTTCCTTGACTTCTTTCTCAGAAAATAGTCTCAACAACTCCATCTGATGATCTACAGTCAAACAGGGACCATTCTGAATGATCCTCATTGAAGCTCTACTCCTTCTACCAGTTCTCATACCCAAAAGCTCAGTGTAGTACTTAACAAATATGTTAGCTATTTGTGTAGGATCGGTCTGCCAAGCCCCTTGATCATTCTTCAGTTGAGTAGTGCCCTGTTGCAGCCTCCTATGCTTGATTACAGAATGAAAATACTTTGTGTTGTCGTCACCTAATTTGATCCATGTAGCTTTACTTTTCTGTTGCAAATACATCTCAGCCATGTAAGAGGATCTCCTATACTTCTGGTATACTATATTTTCTTCCCTTTGGATCTGCACATTTGAAGAATCAGCTTGAAGTCTCCCCTGTACTTCTTTTAATGCCTTTCTATCATCACTTGCCTTCGAGACAATGTTTCTGAAGTGTTGAGAGTTGAGTTTCCGAAGTTCTTGCTACATTATCTTCAGCTTTTTTACTATCTGAAACATCTTGCACCCTTCTACATATTCTGATAAGTCATGTTCCTAGATGTTTTGATGATCTCCTCACAAGTGCAAGGACCTGGTCCTCTGCAGAGTATGAATACTTGTCCAGTGTCAAAGTGCTGAACAACTGTAAAGTTGTCCACGTCAGAAAGTTGGTGAAGTTGCAGAGTACTTCACCAATCATAAATGACGAGGTTGTTTGTACGTTGGATAATAACTCTTCATGGTATATATCAAACAAAAAACAACAGTATTCATCATTCATTCAAAGAGAGATACTTTCAAGCTTCAAAACAGCAAGGGACCTGATAGAAGTGCCTCTATTTGCTTTCAGTACCAGCTGCATTTGTTTGCTTGTAATAGTGCTTATATTGTAGGATTCGTTTCACTTGTGAAAGAAACGTTTCAAACTTGTGCGAATCATTGTAAGAACTAGGTTAAGGGTAATTTAGTTTCTTACTCTAAAGTCTATATTAATCGGTTAGGATAAATATAGTGGGCAGTGTTGTATCTGCTCTGGCTCAGCTAAGTGATAGGAGATATTGCTTAGTGTGGAGATTAGCAGTCTAATCTCATTGTGTAAACTGACTTTTACTTTTGCTTGGAGAAGATTAGTGGAAGCAGTTTGAAAAGTCCTGTTGAAAACAGATCGTGATTTTACTCCCTTGAGCAAGGAGGTTTCCACGTAAAGTTGATTGTCAATCTTTACTTTCAGCATTTGTTCTTTACTGTTTATTATTGTACCTATATTGAGGACCTGGTCCCATCTACATAGGTGGACGCATATATTCCAACATATTCACTCCACACTTCCTGAACCACTCTAGTAAAATTTGGATGTTGAGCCCATACATTACAATAATGAAATTGTTTCTTCTCTTTTGGCCCCTCTGTCATCCATGTTATTTTAGCTGGACAATGATCATTGATAACTTCAGGTAAATATATGGCTCTACAAGAAGGCATAGTATCCAACCACCTATTATTTGTGAAAATCCAATCTAACTTTGAAAATATCCTTTGATTACTACCTTTGTCATTCCATGTATACTTACTTCCAGCATGTGGAAATTCAATCAACTCACACTCCTCAATACAGGTATGAAAGTCCACAATGTCTGCCCATGTTATAGGATTGCCCCTAATTCTGTCTTCTTCCCTTAGGACTGAGTTAAAGTCACCTAGGATCATCCATGGCTTATGACAACCTCTTTGATATGCCACTAAGTTGCTCCAAAGACCTCTTCTCTCCTCCCTTGTGTTAAATGCATACACAAACGTTAGTGCAAATGATAATTGTAATGGAATATAGAATACCTCACATGTGATATGTTGAGCTGTCATGTCTATTGTGTTCACTTTATAGTAGTATGGCCTCCATATAATCCATATTCTTCCATTATAATGCTCCACCAAATTTGTAGTATAACTCCATCCTCCAAACAGTTTAGCAGCAACTTGATCAATCTTATTACTTTTTATCTTTGTTTCTAACAATCCAACTAAACCAGCATGTTCTTCACTGCAAAGAAGCTTCACCTCCTTTTGCTTATTAGGGCCATTCAGCCCTCTTACATTCCAACTTAACATGTTAACCATCCCCATAATAGGGTATGGATTCAGTGCCAACATTTCCAACCTGTCCGGATAGATTCAATCTCTTATTATTATTAGTATTTCCCCAGCTGCCTTCCAACACCTGAAATGAATTTGAGTTCTCTATTTGTTTATATGCTTGTTGAACCTCTATATTCTTGCTCTTCCCTGCCTTTTGTGGTGTTACCCAAACTGTCTCGTCATTCTGTTTTGCTGTTGTCACTTGTGTTTGATTTTCATGTGAATTAATTGTTGTTTCCTGGATTTGTTCCTGCTGTATCCCCTGCTCGTTTGAAGTCCTGTCTTTGTGTTGTATCCCTCTTTTTGCATTTCTCACTTTCGATATATCTCCTCCATTTGCAGCCATTTTTTTCTTCCTACATATATCCACTACATGGCCATACTTACGGCAATGAGTGCATAATGTTGGTTTCCAATCATACATAACTTTCTGCTCAGCTACTTGACCCTTCTCATTTTTGAACACGACGAGTTCGGGTAATTTAGTATCCATCCCCACCTCCACCAGTAATCTAGCAAAGTTCAGACCATTCTTCTTCTCGGTATTGTTATCTACCATCATGGGCTTCCCCACCAAGCTCCCTATTTTACTCAAAGCTTGAGGACTCCAATACTTGATTACAAGCCCTGGGAACCTGATCCATATAGGGACTGTATATAGCTCATCCCTAGTTAATTCCATGTCAGGATTCCATGCTTTCACTATGAAGGGTTTGTTATCAAAATGGTATATGCCACCTTGGATCGCTTCATCTTTCCCAACTACTGTTTCAAACCTCACAAGAATCACTTCATTCTTTAACATAGCTACTTTATTAACTCCATGCTTCCCCCATAGCCTCTGTATATAGCCTTTTATAACTTCAAATGGAGGGTAAGCCCCCAACACATAGCACACAATAGCATTACTCCAATACTCTATTTCCGAGCTAATGTCATTGAATTAAATTTCGACACATGTGATTCCCCATCTAGTAACGGAGCAACATACTCTAACTTATACTCAGCATTTGACACTTCAGTAATATCAAAATTATCCCACACAGAGTTATGAACCTTCACTATTTCATTCTCCTCCTCTACTTGATCTGCCCATGATTTCTTCCCGCTACTTGCTGAATCTGCTTGGTCCAGCCTTTGCTGTGCTTCCCCAATCTCCTCCCAAATTTGTTTTGCTACTCTCTGCGTTTCCTTAACTAGACCTCGCTCAATTGTTTTCCACCCAATAGTTTGGGTTTCGATTGGTGAATCAGCTGATTCTCCAACAACAATGTCCCCTTGCCCTATCTTTGATCCTCCGTTCCCCAATTTCACTGTTTCATTAGATCTTGCTGCTTGCACTGCTGAAGAAGTTCCTTCAGCTACCACCTGAGTTGATTTCCTTCCTCTTTGAGCTGCTGCCTGTGATTCATGAGCCATTAGAGCCTTCTGGGATGGGATACGCTCCCTCCTCCCCATGGAAGCGCAGTTCAGTTAACGTGCGCCCAGAGAGAAGCTTCCATACCCCAGATAGGTAAAATTAACAAAGTTAAAGGAGTATATTATACCCTTTTCCCTTTTCATTGAAATCACATAGTTCTGAAAACTAAGATAACTGAATCCAACAATTATTTCACATTCTGATTAAATGGAGCAGCACCATATAAAGTGTTAAAAATTGCAGAAAATTTTGCATATATTATGTAGCTATTACACATCTATGCATTCTAGTTACCAGAGGACTCATTGGACAGATGCATCACTCGAACCGAGTACTATAGAGAATGAAGATCCACATGTCAGTGACTTTTGAGTTAAAAATCAAAGTTAAGTGACTTTCTAAGAAAATAGTTCATAATTGAGTGACCATCTGAGATATTGTCTCTAGATGGACAATAGTCGATATTCTAGGAATCGATCCTGCTGGAGGAAACTAGTAAACTAGTGGTACCAAAGAAGTTGTGCAAAAGAAAGTGCTCAAGCTTTTAGATGCAGGAATAATCTTTCCTATTCTAACAGTAGTTGAATTAGTCCAATCATTGTTGTACCAAAGAAAGGAGGGATGACTCTGGTGAAAAAACGAGAATAATGAGTTGATCCCGACAAGAACAGTAACATGTTGAAGAATGTGTATTAATATTATTAAGATGGGAAAACAATCTAGTGCACATAACACTAGAAAACTGGATAGTATAGATCAGTAATTAATCAAGAACTAAATGAATGTCTATGTTCAACTCAATTTCCTTTCACTTCTTTCCTTTCACTTCTTTTACCGGAGGGTCCTGGAAAGGCATGAATGTCTTCCCACCCATGTATGGCTGTAGAACTTCAGGAATTTCAACTCCGTCCTCCGTCTGGTAGTTTTCAAGTATACAACACATAGTCCTTTCTGTCGCTGTAAGGGTTGAGTTCAATAAATGCACGTACTGCTTAGTTTGCTCATTAACCTAAGGAGAAAAAATTATGTTAAGAGTAGTTCAGATGCTAAATATCGTAAACATTTGGAACGGAAGCTGAATTGCAATGAATGAAGGGGGCAAGTCAAAATACCTTCTGTCCAAACCGAATTTCCAATTTTCTCGACTGGTAATCTGTGCAGTTTGAGCAGGACACAAGCTCTCTATAAGTTGATGATGCAGGGTACCATCCTTCTAAATCATACTTCTTTGCTGCTGCGTCATTCAGTGCGCCAGAAACAATAGCCACAATTTGGTAAGGAAGCTTTAGCTGTGAAAAAGAAAAGAGCTATGTCAAGCCAACTTTGAGACTAGACCAAAGCACTAGGGGTGACAAAAGGTGAATTCTTACTTGTTGTTAGTCAAGTTGTGCACAAGTAGGTCTGTACTTGAAAAAATACTATACCGAACAACAATTATGGTACTCTAGGACTCGAATATTCAGAAGGACTTCATTATACAGTTGACAGATCAATTTGCAACTCAATTATTCATTACCACTATATCTTTAAGCAAAAATTTACAGAATTTAACAGAAAGAGTCACTTAAGCAAACAATTTTGATGTCAAAGTAGCTATTTTACTGAACAATTAAAACATATATATCAGAAACAGATGGGCTAAATGTGATAACCTGATTGGGCTAGATTGTTTAAGCAGGTTCAAGGCTTCAAAGATGCTTCTAACAAAAGGGCAATATACCAGAAAATGGACGAGAAAATTAGACGTACCTGCTGAAAGAATTCCTCTGAATTTTTAATCATCTCCTCATGCATATCCCAGGAGTCATTGCCATTTGGACTGGTCAGACAAAACTGTTCCACTTTCTCAAACTGGTGGACTCTAAAGATGCCAAGCGTGTCGCGGCCATGTGAACCAGCTTCCTTGCGGAAGCATGTAGAATATCCAGCATACCTGGTGGATGGCATAGATTAGTCCATAAAAGCCAACGGGCAATAGAGGCAATAGAGGACAAACTGTTGGATGTGAAAGACATCTATTGTTCAAAGCAAATAAAACATTATCGCGATAGGCAAAAAGATATGTGAAAACTGCATCATTCAATAGATGCTTTTTATGAATGTCAACTAAGTATTGTAAGTAAATTGCTCCTGATTTTTCAATTATATGATAACTCGAGCCCCATTCTTTGATAGATGATCACTATGCATCAGATTCAATTCGTTAAAGTGGAGAACTGAACCAAGAAACAATACCTTAACGGAAGCTGTGAAGGATGAATCCAGTCATCCAAATGATAAGCACACAGAGGTTGTTCAGCGGTGGCAATCAGATATTTATCATCTCCTTCACCAGTTACCTATCAAAACATAAGATAAGAGTTACTGTACGAATGAAGAGTATATTGGAGATTTTTCACTATAACAGAACTGAAGCGATCCTCCAAATAAACTAACATTGTTTTCAAAGGCCTTCTAAGGCAGTTACGCCAAACTAATTATTGGCATGAACTGCACTATGAGTGTCTATTGAGTCCATGTACCTGAACATACCGAGAGAGAGATATATACCTTGTAAAGTTCTTCATCAAACTGAGCTAATTGAGCACATTTTGCCATAATATCTTTCCTCATGAAGAACGGAGTCTGCAATGGAGTATATTCCCTCTTTTCCAAGAAATCAAGAGCAAAATTAATCAACGCTTGATTAAGACGTACACCAGCCCCTTTCAGATAGTAACCTCTTCCTCCAGCAACGTTTGCACCTATACATTTCAGATATCTTTGCATTAATCTTGCAAGTCATTATACCAATGAACAAAACAACATAATATGAAGCGTTTAGACTTTCACTTTTCAAAATAAAATGCTGAAGCGCAATCCATAAAACAAGTTCACATGCAAGATGCATAATCCCATAAGCTCAATATATAGCCCTTACCCTTTGGTATGTCTGCAATTCCGAGATCTTTAACGAGATCAACATGGTTTTTCAGACTTTTCTCAGTCCGCTTCTCTCCCCATGACCGGACTATAACATTATTTGCCTACAAAATAATCATTGTTAAAACAGAAGATTTTATTTTAAGCTCGCGTATTTCACTAAAAAAAACCAACAAATCCACATACCTCATCATTACTAATTGGCACCGAATCGTGCACAAGGTTACCAATGATTTCCATCTTTGAATACAAAGTGGCTCGAACCTCTTGTACCTCTGCCTCTTTCTTTTCAATTTGTTGCTTGTTCTTTGCAGTGTCCTTAATATTTTGACTTGCATCCTCACCAGACTTCATCAAAAGGAAACGAACACGATTCAATTAGAAAAGGACCATGACATATAAACATTAGAGAGACGTACATAATACATATTATAATGCTACAATCTAATCATCTGCTCTGATCACTCAACTAATAGTTCTTATCTCAGAAAGTCAAGTTTCTTTATTGAATAATTGGACAGATGAAAAATTGAACAACTGAATAGAACACTCACATTTTTTAGCCTGGCAACTTCTTTGCTGATCTTTTTGAAATCTTTCCGCAAGTTATCAAGCTCAAACTGCCCTGAAATATACACCAATATTCATCCCTTTGATTTTCTCCACCAAATATTTGAACAATAACTTATTACCATCAGTTTTCCATCAAATCATCATCCAATTTGCTAATATTGTTATTAATCTTTAGTAATTCGGCATTTCGAGAGAAAAAAAAAGTAACTTTGACAAATATTTTAAATTATTAATTTTTGTGACTTTATTAAATATGTAAAATACTTTTCAAAAATCTTAAAAATTATATATCCGAATGCATACTTTAAACAAATTCGAAATCCGAATAAAATCATATAAATTGGAAGGAGGGAGCATATAGTTTCTTGGGTAATATTTATCGAACCAACTTGTCTTCTGCCATGCCCCGTCGGTCCTATCCTACCTTGTCCTGCCCCGTTAAGAGCACTACCCGGCCCGTTCCAGAATAACACATTACATAGAGATAAACAAACTATTTAACGCCAAATTTACACACAAAAACAGGGCGAACTCTTTCGACAGAAAATTATATTGTTTATACGTAACTCAAATAAAAAAAGGGAAAGATGAATTACTGTGACGCCATTCTTTGTCGAGTTGAATGACCTGATCCACGAGAGTGACGTCGCCAAAACGACGACGTTGGGATTCACGTATAATTTCTGGATTCTTTCTGAAGAGATTTATGTCCAACATTTTCAGAGAATTTTCGTGGTCTTCAAATATAATATGACCTTTTTTGTTTTTTTAATCATATATAGAGAAATAACATTAAGTTAATCCTAATTTAAAAAGGGCAATAATATTCCTTACCTAATAGGATTATAATTCTTATAAGTTATAAAACATTATAAATTACCATATTTATA